AGTGATATACATATATATATATATATATATATATATATATATCGCGTTCTGTTTTGAATTACCATTTTCGTGTAATTTATACAACTAATAGCGTATATTGTTTTGACAGTCCTCCGCTCAGCAGATCCAGCAAGGATCGACTATCGTAGTAGATAATATAATCAATGTTGCATAAGAAAGTATATATTGATATCTTAAAGATTACTATCGTCAAAATGGCGTAGATGTTACATAGATAAAGAATATCCTAGTGAACTATATTACGTCTTATATAAGATTTATAGAAAATGTATCACTTCGAACGAATCAATCGAATAATCGGTATACATTTCAGATGCACGGGAATGTTTCGAATAAGCATCTTAGTTATTTAATCGTAAGAGCACAGAATGATTTGTCCTTAGCATAGTATGATACGGAAACTTGTATGTGATATTTTATTTGAAACATTTCCGTCCGCTCTGAAAACTCTACGAGATTTTCGAATAATCCGTCTAAAGTGATACACGTTTAAAATAGAGAATATACCGAGAGAGAGAATTCAATCGGAATTCGTTATAAAGAAACTATTTTCTGCGAGATGAAGAAAAATATGCAAGCGTTTACTGTACAGCAAATTAATTTTCGATTGTTACGTGATTACGTACAAAGTGTACAAAGCGTTGTGAAAATGTATTACAATTAAAATATAATTAGTCATCAGGCAACAACGCACTATACCTAGTAATCGTGTATAAAAGATGGTACCAAAATTATTATCCGTGTTTTCTGTATACGTGTACTATATCCCTCTGCGTGTATCTCTGTGTACTATATATCTTCTAATATAAAAATATTTGTCATCGAAACATCACAATTCCTCCAATGACGATTAATACTCCACGTTACACGACCAACATAACTATTCTGAATACACGAGCACAAAAGGAACGTTTACTCGTCGAGCTTCGTATCTTTGACAACACTGCCTAGAAATATGCGATTTTAAAGTATACTTTGAATTTGACGTATCGATGTTTGATTAAACCTCCAAGTAAGAGCATTAATAACGCAACGTGACAAAGATTTACGAGCAAACAAGGATGTATTAATCCGTATAAAAGGGCAAACCTTACACTTGAAAGCTACAGAAGGAACTTCGAAGTCACAGTAAAACCGTGCAACATGTTTATCAAGTTTATTCTCATCTGCTCGATGTTTAGCTTCGTTTGTGCACGAAGTATCGAGAACGAAGTTCAGCTTTCAACCATGTTCGCTGGCACTCGTTCTGACTCCGTCATGGACACTAATGAACCAACCATTACCGTAAATATTTCACTTTCTTCCTTATACAAGCAGTTTATTTCTAACGTTTAACAACCTCTCGTTTTAATGGCACGAGTCAAGGATTAACGTTACAACGTAAATCACAGGAAGAAGAATGCGTTCTTCAAGTGCGTCCTACACACGCAAGCCGATCGGATACACCAATTACGAGCCACGAATCGACGACACACACGGAATCGTCACACCCCAAGAAAAGGGCAACAAATTACAAGGAAGATCGAACCGACTTACGACCTGGATGTTGCCGGTAAACGATTAGGTGAATAATCACGTTTCAACGAATGGTAGATAGTAATTAAATGCATACTACAAATACCGTTTCATCTTTTCGTCTTCTTCCACGATGAGATAGCAAATGAAATAAATAATGAATGGCTATAAAGCCGTACAAGTATGATCAGAACCATTACTTTTTCCTTTTGTTATCCCTGTTCGCAAAAATCACGTTAAAGCCGGCGCGATAAATTTAGCGGATATAAAAAGGGGCAAAATAAAACAGCTTATGTGGAAAACTCTTTTTATTAACGTCATGTACTCGTACATAATGATTCACAAGCACTGCGAACGGTCATATAACTTTTATCGCCAAATTAACAGAATTAAATAGTAAGTATAGATATTCGTTAAACCAGTGCATTATATTGCATACATTACATCGTAACTAAAATCACTAACCTTCATGGAAGGACGAGGACAGAAGTTAAAGAAAACGAGTCATTTTTATTTCTGGCTTGACGACAAAAGAACAAACGAAGAATAGAATTATTGTATATCGTGACATAAACGACACGTTAGAATTATAGTCATTAACCATATGACTAAAACAATCGTACAACGAATCCAGCACTTGTTCAACATTATTATTGTGCTAATATACGAAAAATGATATCGAATCGAATATCGTAAAAATTTTTGGTATCAAATCAAGTATCAAATTTTCATCGATCGTTCATCGAATAAAAAAAAAAGAGAAAATAAAAAGAAAAAAGGAAGAAAAACCGTGAAACCGGATAAAAGTTTTGCGTTAATATAATTGGAACACTTGATGGACGTGCGGGAAATCACCCGAGCACACAGCGGACACTCGACCAATATACGCATATTTAATTTGTACAATTTCTTAATAATTACAGGTATCGTATCGACAAATTGTATCGTGAATTCAATACTGTTATCTACTCTCCTTCGAAAGAATAACTTTCCAAGCAGACATTGGTCGTGTTTGTAAAAGATCGATTTTTCGTCGACCCCACCTGAGCCAGGCAAATCCTATGATTAGGCACAAAATACTCTCTATATAGTACCCATCAAATTGCATATCACAAACACCATTGTGCGTGTTCGTGCAAAACTGTAAATGGAAAATTTGTATATTTTCGTTTCGTAAACTTAAACTCCAGTGAAAATAAAAATGCTGAAGTAACGTTAACACTAACCTCTCTTTTCGAAATTGTGCTACAGTCATTCGAAGGATCGGTGCTGCATTGTCTTAACGTTAACGAATCAACGAACCAAAGAGCTGCCGTTGCTGGCCAATTACCACCAAGGTTAGATAGCGTGTTTAACAATGTCATGTAGGTACCACCAACAGCTGGATCGCTAATTTTTGCAAAAAACGCCATCGATGCCACAAACATACTACTCGTAAAAATCTGAAAGAAGCAAACGTAATATAAATATATTTATTCTTGCGTATCCGTTCCCTTTGAATTATCGTTCATTTCGTCTGGACACTTCACCTGATGTATCAAATAAAGAATTATTAAAACTATGAAGTAGTAAGCTGGAACTTGTCCCCCCGTTACAACGTACGGTGTCACCCACACCAAAAGCGCAGCAACTAATCCAAAAGCTAACCTAGAAATTCGATCATAAATATTTATTACTATATATATATATATATATATGTATATATAGTTTTAACCTTTCTCTTTGTTTATTTGTTTTCTAATCACCTATAAGGCATAGCCATTATGTACACGTTCATGGGTCTTGCGCCCACTGTATATTTCGAAATTGCTAATGGTAATAATATTTGTAAGGGTATCAGAGGCACAGCCATAAGGGCAAATTTTTCTTTCGGTATACCAGCTTCTATCAACTTCAAACCCGTTACGGCTTCGCAAGCAGAAAACCCTATCTGTAATCGACGTAAAAGTAAATTATTATTATTACCGATACAGATACGAGTCTTACCGTATTATACATCTACTGACCTTAGCAGTTAACAAGAATATAATAATCGTCTTCACAGATGGTAATTTGACAATGTTCCAAAGTAATCTATAGGCATGTTTGATATCCGTATTCAATTCTTCGTCTTTGTGCATTTTTTCGGAATCTTCGCGTTTAAATAATGCAACTAGAGTAGTAGTAATTATGAATATCCAACCCCAAAAATGAAGGAAATCTGTAACAAGCAGCAGTCAGACACAATTCGTCAATTTTTTAATGTGTACGTAAAACGTAATCTTACTTACTGGACAAATTCACGATACCCTCATTGGAAGGAATTGACCTTAAGTAACTATTACAAAATTCAGCTGATGCCAGTGCCGTAAACAGGACATAACCAATGAAATATCCTGCAGTTTGTCCGACACTATTACAAGTCGATGCATATCCCACATTGCATCTAAGTATAAAAAGTATAAGAAAAATGTAGATACCTTTAACGAAATGACATTAACTCGAATCATTCGTTATAAATTAAATCTATACCTTTTCAACATTGTAAGTGCCCAACCATCTACTACGATATCTTGAGTTGCAGCCAAAACATTCAGAGCAAAAAATATTATGGTCAACATCTCTATGTTTGGCTTTGTGGTTTCGTTACCTAGCCAGTGATCCACATGGCTCGATAGTAACAGCATAAAAATGCCCATTAAATATTGAGTCGGGATTAACCATGTTTTCCTTCTTCCAAATTTTTGAGAAAATACAGAGTCTACTATCGGTGCCCAGAAAAGTTTCAAGGAAAAAGGCCATTGTACAAAACTAAATTCAGCCTGGTAACGAACAAACAAGGTTCGTTTAATATCGTTATTATTTATTTAAAACAATTATGACGTAAAACGCATGAATTACCTGTTGACGATACGAAACGTCTCTATTTTGAAGTAACATAGGAATAGAACCGCATAAACCCAATGGTATTCCTTGCAACAGATATAAAAATAAAAGAATAGCTATGTTATTTTCGTCGCCTCGTAAATCTGAACGTTCGTGTACGTGGTTGGGTTCGTGGATCCCATCTTCCACGTTATCCTTTTCCATTTTCCTTCTAGTACCCATGAGGAATGATAAAAGAGATCAAGAATAATCTTATACACCTTACTTCTTTGGCTCCCAACGGAACAGATGTTTCTCTCACGCGATTGACAACTTTCTAATTTTTAACGTTTACTTTTGAAAACGCTATCAAGCATCTCGTGGATTAGATGGTAATTATCGATATACTATCTCAAAATGCTTCAATGTAGATCCTTCGATCAAATAACACGCATACATTTCTAAACGAATGAACCACTCGCGCGATAACAAAATGAATTATTTAACTTATGACAGCAGTATTACCATTGACGTGGTCATTGCCGACGTAACCTCAATCTTGTGTGTATAGAACGTTATTCCACTTGTACGAGAAATTGACAGTCAAGATTTCAATGAAGTATAAATATTTTTAAGTATCTTATATTTATATTACGAACAACAACTGCTGAATAGCATTTCGAAGTGTTTCGTGTTCGTTAGCTTATCTAGGAATCATGTATAAAAACCCGCAGTGGCTTGCGAATGCCACGTTGTTTCTCATTAGGGACACGTCAGTTATGCTTTGTCTTTTTCAATCTTAAAGTTACGTGTGAATCCTTTATTACTAAAAACAACGATTCTATAGAAGCGCAAAATGCTAGTTACGGTTAGATTCTTCCGAGCGCAAGTCATCAATGAATTTCTCTGCATAGAAATTCGCCTTTCATTTTCTGGAACATTTCCCTGACGTTAAATAATACTTTTAATTACACATTACATTCCGACGGGTTCCGTATGTTACCGCTTAAAACATCGGATTATTTAAAAGGATTAGAAAACTTCCTATCGTTATATACGCATCGAAATAGTTAGTCATTGATTACGAAGATATTCATAGTAGCGTATCGTAGGAGTTGTCCAGGGTGGGGGATAGCTACGCGCATGAATGGTCCCCCACTACTGAGTACGTAACGAGTGGTGGGGATACGCACACTTGAGTTCCATTCGAAAAGTTTACGCGTTGTTACTAGTGGCCTTCGGACCGCTGAAAGGGTGTAGTATTTCTATTAATCTTCGATCTTTCGTTTTCCAAATATCGAATTTATTGTTTTTATATTTTACATCATATTTTCTATTCAATTGTTCATTTCTTAATTATTCGTGAACAACAGTTGACAATTACTATATTTTTTTCGTACTGCCTACAATTTAAGAATAGATAAATTTTTGTTCTTTTTAGTATTTACAAACGTACACGTAAACGCGTTACAGTTACCGCCATTCGAAGCAACGATAGTTGCTGCTTTTATTAATTTTTTGATGCGCATATTTGCAAGTTCTTCGTTAGGTACATAATTCAAAAGCCTGTAACAGTATCGGGATGTATTAAATGTTCAGAATTTTTTCTTCAAATTACCGTAATAGCGCGGGCCGATTGTGAATACATACAAATCATTAAGACGACGTTTCAGTGTTGATTTCCCTTGGAAAACGTCTGTTTCCTCTCTAAAATTAAGCCAATAGTTCCTTTGAATCTCACACGCGAATCTAGCGATACATGTCGGTGAAAGAGACATCTTGCTTCCGTTTTCGTCATTGTAGTTCTGCTTAACGATAACGTAGAAATTAAAACGAAATATTTAATTGCAATCTACGAGGAAAAATTTATAACGGAAGTATCATTTTGATACTTGAACAACCTCGGTAACGTTACTTTTGAAATTCCTTAAAATATAGTCCATGTAGGCATCTTTGTCCTTAATAAATAAACTGGATCGTTTCCTTCTTCCAGATACAACCCCAAGTGGAAGAAGAACGGGATTGGTGGCTAAAGCAGCAGCTGCTCCAATTAAGGCAACACCTGCTAATGCCTTTAAAGCTACGGCCTGATGCAAATGACAGAAATCGATAAATCGTCGTAAAAACGATTGTAAAAACGCGGTGAATCCGTGAAAAAATTCTTCCTCCATTTTACCATTCAGGAAAAATGTTACCTTCTGCGCTTGAATATTCGGAGGAGCGGGAGCATGTCCTTCTGGATAACTTGGCTCCACAGGCCCAAATTCATCGCCATTGGCGAAAGTTCCCGAGATTCCATGACCACCGCCCGAAACAGATCCTCCATAGCCAGTTGGTCGACTAAAACTGTACCCACCATGTTCTCCAGACACGCCAGAATCGTAACCACCGGGTTTACGGAAACTTTCGCTCCCATAACTCGGCCGTGAACCAAATCTAATGTTCGTATAAAATCGCGTTAGACGACGAAAGCGTTAGAACGATATCGAACAATAAATTACGAGCGTGTAACCGTGTGGGAAAAGGTAATCGCTTACTTATCTCCTACTTGAGCTCCTTCGTAGAATGCAGTTGCACCGTAACCTCCGGGTCTTCCATAGCCTCCGCCAAAACCTGGCGGTCCTTGAGTTTGCCACCCGTATCTGCGTATTATCCTTTCGATGTGAAATTTGCACTCCCACGGATTAACCTCGCACGATATCTTTACTACGTTTTAGTTTAAAGAATCACCTATCTACGGGTAAGCGTTCGCCGAACTTGGTTGAATATCGACCACTGTCCACATGGATCTTGTTATGATACGAATCGGGTCGCGTAGACGAATTGGAACCGTATCTGGATCCGCAGCAACTAGAACTTGCACGTTTCAATTCATCGTGACGCGAATGCATCGAAAACGGGAAGAATTTGAAAAATATTCGACTTATCTCTCGATTCGGACTCCGACCGGTGATCCGCCGTTCGCGTTTGTTTATCCAAATTATTGTTGTATCCCTCAGCGTTATTCGGATATGGAGTCTCGGAAAAATTTCTAGCACGTACGATATTCGCCAACGGCCTGTCTCCCGTGGGTTGTTTCTTAACGAACTCAGAAGTTGCGGCGAATTCATTACTCTCCGCAAGTGCATAGCAAACAACTCCAGTTGTTAGCAGAGCACAAACGAATCGTTGTGACATCGTAATTAGAAATCTAATTAGGTAACAATCCGATGAAGGGAAATAAAGATTTGGAATACGTTTTAGCGTAAAGGCGACAGAATCAAAAGTGGCTCTTTCCATGAGTTTCACCTTTTTTATATAGTGGCCACGCATGGGATTTTATTCTTATAATTATAAGAATTTGTTAACGTAGTTTTTATATCGGTGCATCACGATGCTCCAAATATCGTAGTACGAAGTACTATTCCCGATACGAAATACTTTTGCCTTCAGTTGCGTCCCTGTAAATTACGAAGCATGACCAAAAGATACGGAGGAGTAAGTCGGTGAAAATAAAAGTGTCTCTCGTGTGAGTCAACAATATTCTTACCGTCACGCTAAGGGCTTAATTAACGTCGCTTTGTTGCCTTTAATTTTAAGTGAAATTTCTCACAGTTTGTCAGGAAAAACAGAACGACAGCTCACGTTTTGAAAGTGATTTATTTGCGAGAACAATTACGGGAAATTGTTACGGAAATACAAACGATATTAAATCGAATCTGCATTCGCGTAGATGCTGTCCTTAATTTAATAAACAAGTTACCTTTATACTAGATTTCCTCTTAAATTGAAAAAGCGTGTCTGGGTTGTATTTTTCTTCAATCCATCTACTTTCCCATTGCACGAATAAAATAACTTGCTCGTGTCTTGTAAGTTTATTTCCATTGTCGGAACTACTGCCAAATCGATCACTTTCTTTCTTATTCGAAACTTTTTGGTACTTCTTTACAGACGTATCTGTCCACTAAGCCTCAATTTTTACCACAATCATTTCTGCAGTCTATATATCGGTTTGTCTCATCTTCGTTAACCTCGCACACGATTTACAAACATTTTATCGTGAAAAGTTGCGTCG